GCGACAAATAGGGTTTTCGTCTTGCTGAATATGATGTCGTGGACTCTGTGAAGTGTTCTATTAAATGGAAATCTCATTTTGAGTATCAGATTCCAGAATTAGTGGAAGTATTGCCACGGATGAAGATGTGCTCCCATTCATTCCACCATTCAGCGATTCCCCCAGTTCCATGTATCCAACGAAATGGGGACGGTGCTAAGAAGAGCTGCTATGAAGCGACCAAGTCAAGATCTGAAGTCTAATTGAGTTCTACATCCCACGGAAGAAGCTGGCATGTCGCTCAACCCACATTCCAGTTAAGAATCCCACCAAACAATGTGATTTAGTTCACAGTGTGTAGGGTTCGACTTAAAAGTCCTAAAATTATTTTATAATCAACTCCATGTCAATAAAAACGACGCTGACATAGAAATTCACAGCTACTCATCGAATAACTAATTTATCATGTAGATTCGAGAGCTATTTTGCCGAATTCGCTTTGGAATTGAGAAGTTTCCAAACTTTTGACGCGCCATTTCTTATAAAAATTCGTATTTTTCAAATGCGATTCTCGTTTTCAAAAAATTATGTTGCTCATCGTAATCTACACTTGATTCTGTATATAATATGTGAATTCGGGACAATTTCATTGTCTATTGGCTACGCTAGATCAAAAATAAAAAAGTTTCCAAACTTTTGACCGCTACTGTATAAATCATGCGAATACAATGTCCGCGAGATATCTAGGAATAGATAATGTTTACTAGGCCGACGGGGCTCTCGTAGTAACGTCGAGTATTCACGTAGATAGCTGTGCATGTCAAGAACCATTGTGGGCGATTCGCCGCCATTCCACAACATTACTGATGAGACGCGTACCGGAAGGTTATCGGTCGACACGGACCAACCCGTATGCTAAGGTCCTTGTGCGGGTCATTTTGCATCGAAAGAAGAACAAAGAGTAACTAATAAACAGAACAATACACTATAACACTATAACAATATTGGAACGATTAGAGGTTTGTAACTGGGGGTAAAAAGTGGCCTCTGCGACGGATGAATGAGGGTGTTTCTGTGAAAAATAGAGATGTGGCCTCTGAGTGCGGACACTGGTGCGATTGCGATGGAAGGTCAAATTTATGATGCTAGAATTTTTACGTACTCATATGAGTTAAGGGTAGAGTTAAGTGTGTCAACATGAAAGTTGCGTTAGATGATATTGCGGGATCTACAAATTCTTATCTGCGTGGTGACTCGAAAGTCAATTACTCTTCGCAAAATGGCGTGGTAGTGCTTCTCTGATTGGGATTAAGCGAGATAAAAGCAGATATCCGCGCGGGGTCTGGGCGGCTGTAGCTGGAGAATCCGACAGTAGAGTATGGAATAAGAGTCAGTAGCAGAAGTAGGCTGCGTGACTGCAATGAAATGTCAAATCAAACAAGGAATATCGATGAGCTTATTGGCCGTTCCATTGAGCTTATTGAATTTTTAGCCGCATCATGGGCGATGCTCAATGTTGGCTGTGCGGGTTCTTGTGGTAAAATCTTGCCGAAGCAATGCTCACTTTCCGAGGAACAATTTAGAAATGACGAAATTTTACGTAATAAGTGTATTCCAAGCTAACGTGTCTTATTCGTAGAACTGCACTCAGCTGCACTTGCTTCAGAATCACAAGTATGATTAAACTATTAATACGCCGGAGTCACGACCGATGCTCAGTCTTCACTGGGAAGAGCATATTGATAAACCACGTCAGAAGTGATACGTGGCGACTGAATATGATAAATGTAATATGAACCTGACGTAATTCCTAGAATATGTTGGCGAGCGGTAGCGCTTAAGTGACTAAAATGTCTCTTGAGATAAGTTACCGTATCTGTGCCGGGCGTTTTGTGCATCACTTATAGATTGGTGTATGATTTCAAGACGGTGCAATTTGACACTTTTTACCAATTTTTATCTCTTTGACCTAGTCGTACAAGGAACGCTTTGATAAAATAACTGCACATCAAACAGCACGTTTGACGTGAGAAACGGCGTCTATGTGCACAAAATCTTGAGCGCCTAAAAGGCGAGTGTTGAATATCGAGAGCGAGCGATTGAGCGCCACTGTTAGGGTAGAAAAGTGGAAATAAACAATCATAGTTCAAGCTAAACGTTTTGTCCAAACTGGCCACGACCCTTAGTTTACTCTTCACCTCTGCAACGATCAGGACCTTCAATAGGAATAAAATCTACAGTCACAGAAAAGCACGCAGACGCTGAACACCTGACCAAGTTAAGATTGTGAGCGGAACCTGTTTTTTATTAGTTAGCCATACATAAAATTTCCACGCGCGCGGACTCGTATAACCCAAATGGAGGGTACACAGCAGTCTTGCTGCGTGGCCAACTTTGGATAAGTCAAATCACTGTGGAGCTCAACTTTGTGCGCCACAGAATGCATTACTGTATTTTAGGCGCTAGGATATACATGAAGTCGTTTTGAAGACAAGAGCAAAAATTAATTGCTACAATAATAAGTTAGTATTAGCAAGCTAATTTTGGCAATAGAAATAGTATGCATCAAAAACTGAGAGCCAGAAAACGATGTCTGAAAGGAATTGTGGAACAATATCGCACACCGCAAGCGTGATTCCTGTAATGTTTTAGTACTCGGTTAGAAACTATCAAATTAGACTCCGCACGCAACACGCCGCGCATGAATATGCTTCGGTAAAACTGTGCGTTTGGTGGAACGTCAGGTTCCACCGGTAGGAAATTAGTGGCTTTCAGGAATGCGTTAGCTCACTGTCCGCTAGATACGCGCGATAGAGCACGGAACTAAAGTGATGCCTAAACAACAACAATATGCATTGAGTGTCAGAATAATTTAGCGGTCGTAGATGCATATGATGTTGGAGTCAAATACCCAGTACCGAATACCGTGTTTCTTCCAATGTCCACCGTAATTTTTAGAAATCGAACCGGGAAGGTAGCGACCACAGTGATTTGAGAATAAGGACCGACAGCCGCAAATGAATTAATAGCGAATATGAGTGTTATTATTCTCAATCGGCTCTGCAGTGACATTAAGCTCTTCGACTATCGTTTCTTATCTCCTTAATCATTCGTTACTCTTTCTGACCCCACCAAATATGTTCCCGTCCCACTCTCTAAATCACTTATCAAAACCAACGACTTTGCCGCTGGGACCCTCAGTGAGTTTCGCGAAATTTGCATTCTGGCGCACCCTCAATATGTTGCCGTACCCACTCTGCTAAATACTTATCAAACCAACGATTGCGCTGCCGACCCTCAGTGAGATTTCGCGAAAATTTGCATTCGCGCCGACCCTACACAAATATGTTCCCGTATCACCTCCTCCATCATACTAAAAACACAACCCCCGACGACTACTGCGACGCGAGCTATGAATTTCGTGATAGACGGACGGACGTGCACACAAACACACACAGACCGATATACTTAGCGAATTAGATATAGTATGGATACCATTTTTCAATACTAACCGAGGCAGAATTGCACAAGGAAGAGAGCACAACAGCGCAGTGAAGTTGCGTGGGGATAACTGTGGTGTTTGATAACCAGTCAAATTTGACCGCGTATACATCACAAAAAAGAAATGTTGAGTAGGCATCAGCAAAGAATCAGTGACGCAGCGTGTGAAAAGGGGATGCGCTATTGAAAACGACACAACGTAGAAATATAAATTGAATGAGGAAAGCACAGTAGTGCGCGCAATGTCGCCTCGAAGGTTGCAATCTGCCTCCGATGAGTTGCTAATGTGACCGGAAGTTCATAAATAGATGGGTTATTCGGAATTTCCCGTGTGCAAGATTAAACAAGAGGTAAAGGGAAGAATAATATAGAATCGCTAGATCAGGGCCAACCGTTTTGCCAATTGAAAGTTTTTCGCAAAAACTCAAAAAGTTACGTTGCGCAGCTTGTCATGAAGCAAGCTCTGCTTCTCTTAGAGGGTATATAGCGCGACATATTTTTTACTCTTTAGGTAGACGCAATACTCTTTATTTCTTGAACACTTAGGTATTTCTTAGACCGCAGAGATTTCCTTTTCCGAAGATCTAGCGAAAAGAAAAAAGAAACAACAGCTCTGTTGAAAAGCAAGAATTTTCAGGGAGGCGTCACTTTTCCCAAAAATTCAAACTCGTAGTTTCCTTCGAGTATTAAAGATCTTCAAAATGGCGATTATGAAGTTGTTAGCATTGAAAGCAAAAGAACGAGCTGTGACCTCTCCGAAAAATGCACGTAGTTACTTTAAGGAGCTGAAAAATTTAGTTATTATATTTCAGTTCATAACATATGGAGATTTGAGATTCCGAGAGAACAAACACATATTTACGAGGTTCTCATAAAATTTTTTAAGGGAAGCTAAAGTGAAGAATAGTAAAAAAAGGAAGAGGGCTAAATGGGCTGCCGATGCGTTATGAGCCATTATTGGCAATAGTCTTCAACTTGATAGAAGTGCGCCATGCAAGAATATTCCAGAGTTGTAAATGATTCTTTCATTGCAGGTTTTTGTGCCGCCGTTTTTGAAGAATATGTTCGATATTGTGAAGTCGTTCAAGGGATCACCGAATGCTCGTATTCTCAGTCCAAGGATTGCCCCACTCATGCCAGACAAAGCCGACACAAAACGTGTTCTTTCTCCATCTCTGTTTCCCTTCTACAAAGACGAGACAGAGGAGCAGATAATGCCTGTTCCTAAGGTTAAGTGGCTTTCTTCTAACTTTTTGAGTAAATTTCACAAAGACATCCAAATTATGCTAGAAACAAGGACCCTCATAATTATCAAGTCAGGCTTCTTCTTCCCTTCTTCTTCTTCTATTTCACACACATGTGCAGCAATCTATTGACGGGTGGTACTGCATGTTTCTGCAATTATTCAAATCATATAATATTTTGCCTTATGAGCAGATTGTATGCAATAGTCATTGAACACTTGGGAGAGCAAAGGTATGCGATCACTGCTAAAAATCGCAGACTCGTTGGAAACAGTTGAAGGAAATCGTGTGAATCATTCCCTTCGCTCTAGAATAGATCCTTAGAGGACAATTCCGTGCACGGAAATCACCCGAAAAGAGCGCTAGGGCCTTGCAAAGTGAGCTGCAGCAGCTGCAATTTTTCTTATCAGGCTGTTGTCTGGCGCTCTCTCATCTGTTGCGCTCTCTCGCCTCATACTCTCCTCTCCGCGCTTAGTCTCTCATTGCCTTATCACAGTCTATTACGAAGTGAGGGTGCCCTTAGCCCATGCCCTTGGTATACGCCTACTTGTAGGGTTTTTTAAAGCTTATTTATAGTCAACGGCATAAATTCCTGGCGCTAATTTGCGCAATTTGGTGCCAATTTTGTGGCGTCAACTCACTATGCAAAAATTTTGTCACCGCGGGGAATCGAACCAAGGACCACTTTCCCACTCCTTTTTTGGCATTCAGAGGGCCATTTAGCGGAAATGGACCACAGTTCTGTACTCCATGCACATCCCTCTATATCATGCAAAAAACCGTTTTGAGAAAGCGCGGGCCCCCTGAAAGAGCTCTTCTTGTGATCTGCATAATACACTCAAGATACTCCTTATTTTTGCATAGTGAGAATTCCATATTCATAGGTGAATATTTATGTGAGCTCAAAACCACATAGCGTGAACGGGGTCTTCACATTGTGCACTGAGTCATGACCCCTCGGTATCGCTGTTGTAGGCCTAATCCTTTTCCTTTTTGCCTTCGGTATATGCAAATACATCGTATACGTCGTCGATCCTTGAAATTCATCTCATTTTTCGGCTATTTTTTCATTTTTTCTTAGCCTCTCTTCGCTGGTGCTGTTTCTTTCATTGGCGTTTGACCATATCTTTATAGCTGCGTATTCGAATCATTTAGCTGCAATTTTACACTCATGATGTACAGGAACAAAGCGTTGACAAAGAGTCTGCGTGATTGGATAGAAGAACAACCTCATGTAGGGCTTTGCATTTCTTCGATACAAATTTAGATACGCTGCCAACTGGTAACCAACCTAACTAACAAACCTGTTCGTCTCGTCATAGTCTTCTATAATACAACCTAAACCTTCACATTGGTTCAAATGTATAATGTTCCTTTATTGTTCTGCCCTATGTGTGAGTCACCTCTCTTAAGCCTCCTGGTCAACGGGGCTGAGGGTATACCCTCCCAGTTCCTTCTGTTTGTTCCAAATAGGGAAGTATTGTTGAAAAGCGGAGACACGGCCACCGGGAGGGTTGTGTATCAAACGTGCGTACAAAGGGATCTCGGTGAGTTGCACTGGGAAGCGGAAAATGTTAGGTGATCAGAGATTTTCCTAGACTACATGAAGAACAAATTACTTTGAAGCCATTTTCGATTGCATTTTACACAGCCCATTTTGTAGTGGGCCGTTTGGCGCTCGTCGTGCTTGTGGACCGGACCCTCTTTGTTGCTTGAGCATTCACGCAGTTTCTCGTGAACTTATGATGTATCCTTTACGACACGGCTCCGTCATCGAGCGACTCGATTTTCTGGACCCTGCAATGAGCTGCATCGTCAGGCTGAGGGAAATCTTCGTTCTGCTCCGAGATTTGCAAATCCTTCAAAGCAGTTCAATATCGTTAACCAATCTAGCAACTCTTCCAATATTAGCACGCCAAGCAATAGCTTTATTCTATACTATTACATCTCAAAAACGACTCCTTGTTGTTGCAATGAAACCTCTAATTACCACCTCAATGTTGCAATGGAGTTCCAAAGGTCAGCGAGGGTCCTTGGCATGGATTTTTGAAGTGTGGGTCCAATGCAAAGTGCAGACGGCTAAGTACGGTGCCTTCAAGTACTAACTCTCGCACGCAGTAGTTGGAGGATCTGTGCATTAAGTTCATTCTTCTACGCGTCCGAGTAGCACGCGAGCTTTTTTCATGCGCGCAGATTCGAGGCTTTGAGTTTTCCGTTCCAACCTGACGGCGCTAAATTGGCAGGGCGTTTGTTAGGTGGCTTTCTTTTTTACGCAAGTTCAGACACGATAAAGCCGGCTCTGGGTGGAGCATTCCAACTGTGTTGAACGAGTGCAAAAAACTCCACAAGAAGGCCAGGGAATAGCCGAAGGTTGCGGAACGGGCAGACAACTTTTTAGCGTACTTAAAGGCAAAGGTCGGGCTCAGACACGCTAGAGAAGTAATTCCCGTGCCTGGAGGTTGTATGTGGGTAGCTGCACACATTGCAGCAACTTCCCACCTTGAAAAACGTCGTTAAGCCCCCGGGGCCGTCGGTTTCAATCCGGGACCGCCTCGTCAATCCGGGACCGCCCACCTCCGGAAGTGTGTGCGTGGCTGGCATAACGTGTGGAATCAGCTAGGTTGATTGCCGTCAACCGATAGAACGACTGACATCTCCAGAAAACTTGTTTGTACGTGCCTCTTCCCCAAGACAGCCTCCTTCACTGCTAGTGGGGAAAGAGGGTTTTGTTAACGGCCTTGTCGACGGTTTTTCTCAGTTTTTTCTCCACTGTCGTTCCAACTTCGCATCTCTGTACTCAGTTTCAATCGTCGATAATACCTCCTTATTGAGCCCGACTTTTGCCTTTAATACTTTCATTTTCGGACAAAATAATCTCACCCCTATCGAATTGGAATTAAGGTGCTCTGTGTCTAATTTTAGTTCAATCAGGCCAAATGCTGCAGTGCATCCTTTTGCTTTGCTTTTGTATGGTTGCAGTAATACAACCTCCCGATGATACCGTACGTCTTCTCAATCAGGAAGGGAGTAAAGGGTGAAAGGAGCCAAGCAGCTATCCGCTGCTTGCAGTGCGAACGTTTTCATGAGTTACAGAAGTAAATGCATGCAGATTTGCCATACAGAAAGGCTCAAAATGGTGAAAATTAAGATCCTGGAGTCGGCAGGACTAAACGAAAGAGATCGCAAAAAAGTGCTCGAGATGGTCATGGAGGTCAGCGGTGCTCGAGAGACTGTCGAAAACGCGATGAAGGTATGGAAGAATTAGAATGAGTTTTGTGTGTTTTTTTATTGTAGAGACACCTGAACATCACCACAGGATCCCATACGTGGAACAAGCAAAAAGTTTACAAGGAAAGGGGGAGTGAAACAAAGTTGTTTGATTACAATTTCGTACATTCCCTCAGACGGAAGCGGGCTAATATGTCCTTCCTCTGTGCTCTTCAGTAGGGGGAGAAAAAAGGAATTACGGAATACACTGGTTAAAAGGAAGAAAAATATTGGGCTCCGGAAAGTCTCCGCCGATTTTGGTGGCACAATTTGAATGCGTCGGTTCTCAACCGTTTTTGTGATCTGCTGCAACTTTACATACCATTATGAAGCAAGTTTATCGCTCTATCTAACTGTAGTGCCAGATTTGTTCAGAAATGGATGTTGCCGCTTTCCTAAAGTCTTGAAAGCTACCTGTCAAAAGGCGATTCCGCAGCACTTTATTATTTCAACCATAAATAGCCGAAGAGATGCGCGAAACGTCGCAATATCAGCTACGTGTTTGGTCTAAGATCCGCAAAACAGCGCTGTGCAGCAATGGTACAGATAGCTTATCCGGAAATTGCGAGAGCCTTGAA